TTCCGCGCCAGGCCTCCTCGCGGCCCCTTCCCTGCATCCAGGGACGCCTCCTCCCTCGTCCCTCAGGCCACTCCCCCTCAACCGCCACACACGGCCCTGGGGGGCAGCCTGCCCCGCCTCCTTCCCAATATCCCCTTCCCTTTCCTCCTCAATTTCAGGCAGGAGAGGGGCGCGGCCGCATCACGAACCTCCCTCCCTCCCATCGACCGCCCCACCCGCCCTCACCTCTTTCTTCTCGTCTCCGTCTCTTCCGACCCGGCTTCTGACTGAGGACTCAGCCAGGCTCGAGCTCTCGCTCTCACTCTCTCCCCGCACCGCTCCGGAACTTCCGCCACCACCAGCCCGCGCTAGGCAAGTGGGCGGGCCCACCTTAAGCATCAGCCCCGCCGGAAGGAGATTGTGACGCTCTACCCGGGCTTGTACGGAAACCGGAAAAGGGGGAAGCAGCCGCCAGGGGCGCAGCCATCTTGCGGCGAGCCTTCGCGCCCGTACTTTCCCCCCGCCCACCCGCCCCGCGGTTTCTCCCACGCTGTTCGGCGGTGTCCTCATTCTTTCGGAGCTGTGTCGCCGCCACCACCGCGAAAGGCGTTTTTTTCCACCTGCGTTGGCAACGGATTGTGGAGATAATAGCTGCTAGTTTTAATTGCGTATCCATCATTGCGATGGTAAACAGCAGCGTTGGCGTGACTGATTGTTATTTTTGCGATCCAGCGAGGAGCGCCGGGGGCTGTTTGTCAGACTTAATCATAACATCCACATAACTGATGCACTGCGAGGAGGACAGGATGTCCTGTCTTGCAATCCCCAGTGGCATTTATCTAATAACTGACGGCGTTGGCAGGCCGGGTTCAGACTTTTAAGATTCTGAAGCTCTGCATCAGTTTTTTTCAACCTTGGCAACTTGAAACTGGCTGAGGATTTCTGGGAGTTGAAGTCCACCCATCTTAAAGTTGCCGAGGTTGAAAAACCCTGCTCTATATGGACAACTCAAAGAGAAGAGTGTAGCAGGAAACATCCACCTCTCTTAGCTAAATTTCATGGAAGCATTTTCCTCTTTCTTTACAATGAAAGCAGTAAGTCTACTTATCCTTAAACCACTTCCCAGGTTAGCCTAAGAAGCCTGCAGCAAGTATTTCTTTTAAAAATACGAAGAGATATTTAATATTTTGGAAACTTTTGAAATTAGCTGTTGGAGATCATAAAGCGTTACCACTCTGTAACACAAGAAATAAGGCAGCAACCTACACTCAGAAATCCTAATAACTGAGTTGACACACTGCTAAGCGATGGTTTAGCTAATTTGTTACACAATAATGAACTAGATTCATACATGATAGGCAGAAACCAAACAAACCACATTATAGTTAAGCAATGTACATGAATGGACTTACCTAAATTAATAGTTTAGGGCTTGGTCTTACAAGGATAGCTGCTGACAGGCAAATCTGATTTTTTTTAATGAACAAAATGTGAGATTATGAACCAAAATGTCCCTAATCTTGAAAGCATTCCACAATAATTTTATTTTTTACATCACTTTTACTTTATCACATTTATTTTGAATAATGATATGTCTCAACATTAAGACAGAGTTCAGCTCAGAGTCTTTTAAAAAAAAAAGTTGTAATCAAGGAATTCTTTGCCATATTTATTACAAAAAAAAGTTAGCTCACATCAGATAGAAAGTTGCATCTTAAGCAAGAAAAATTCCTAGGTCTTTATATTTTCTAGGTTTGAACATACAACTGGTATTGTTATGTATTAGCAAGATATCTACTCAATTATGCTTATGGCAATGCCTGTAGCGCTTTGGTGCACAGCCCAGTCATTATTATGTTGGAGAAATCACATTAATTGGAAATTAGCTAAGAGCCCACCAGGAACATTTTATCTCCATATCCAAACTAGATTCAAAAGCCGGAAGAAAGTCCTAGGGACTGTTGTGCGACCATCCCATAGTATCAACCCCTTGCGTATGCCAGCAAAAACAGTAGCAGCAACTAAACAAAAAATTCACCGTCTTAGAAACATTCTGGCCCAAGCAGATATTATTAATACAATCATGGTGAAGTCCAGGAAGGGCTAATGATTTTAAGATCAACTTTCACAATTGATCTTAGCAACAGTGTAATTTTGTACCTATTTGCCAAGTATTTGATACTCTGCTCTTCCAAACCACGTGCATACGTCCTACCCAAAAGGAGTAACAGCCACATCACTCATTTTAGCTTCAACCAGTCAACATCTTTCCAAGTCTACCCAGCGTTCTGTTGTTGCACGAGCCTTTGCAGTTAGGAAATGAAGTGTGTCTGTGGTGTGATCTGATCAAGTTTGTGATCAGCTGGGTTTGCGGCTGCTTCATAGTTACAGATTGTCACTTCGTGTCGATGAGGCTGCAGAGAAACAATTTGAACATTTCTTAAGGGGTCTCTTTGTAAATCTTGGACAGCCAGAGCAGTCATTTGATTTTCCCTCTCCATTGAGACCTATTCTAAATACTGCATGCAATTCATTATAATGCAACCATTCTGAATAACCTGTGCTTCTTTTGAGGAATTTGCAACTTGCCTCCTTTCTATCTGCCCACCATCATTGCTTCACACAAGATGCTGTCTGCACAAGATTAAAATCAGGGGTGTGCAAAAGATCCCGAAATCAGTATATCTCAATCTCAAAAGATCACATTTCGAACTTACTGGAAGTCTTCTGCCCCTAAATGGGATATACTGACCTTGGTTTTCCCAGCAGGAAAACCCCTTTCAAGAACAGAACACTTCTGGTGAGTCAGAACAAGTCATTCTGATCTTGGAACACTTTCAATGAAGACAGCCATTCCAAGGCCGGAATGGGACCTTTCTTGGTGGGTATGTTTTGACTGAAATGTTTTCACACATTTATTCAACATGGCAGAATTCTAGTCAACACCAGCCAATGGTTGCTTAGCTTGAAAGGCACTGTGCTAGAAAACAGCAAAAGAGACAAGGCAGGAAAAAAGACAAGACTTGGACAATTGCTTCAAGCTCTTTGCCTTAGCTCCTGGCTCAACAGCATAACATAGCAAAATAAACCCTGGTTTATCTAAAAACAGGAAACCTTGGGGCTCCTTCATGCCATTCCATTGGTAGGTGCATGAAAATGGCAGTTGGAAGGGCATATTTTGGCTTAAAATAACACTAATTCAGTTACCTCTTGAGGCATAGTAATAACCAACTGGTGATGTGGCAGGAAAGCTTATTTAATGAAGAGAACAGGTCTTTTATGATGTGCTGTATCTGACTAATAGTGATTCAGGCAGACAAAAACTTGGGAGGGGGGACACTAATAACTTCTGTAGATGTTTCCTTCTCCTCACCATCAACTCAAGTAGAACCAGGAAGTTTAAGGGTGGAATACAGAGTTAGCTGGCAGGGTCCAGATTTGTTGACACATCTCCCAGAATTCCCACCCAGCACAAACTTTAAGGGAACTGCAGTCCCAAGGAAACTAAAAGATGCCAGGATGAGCAAGGCTAGTCTGGGAAGACATTATAAAACAAGAGTTACATCCTCTTAAGTATGAGCATTATGCCAGACTCTCAGAGACTCTTGTTCATGAATGTAACTGTTAATAAGCATGCAGTTTGAGGTACATCCTCAATCCCAAAAGCTTATGTACCCTGAATCTACTTATTGAGAAGATTTATATGCTGCCTTCCATTCAGGTGTGCAAGGCAGCATACTCAGCCTTTCTTTATCTGGGGGTACGCCCCCTTTTCATCTGTCATCTCCATCCCCACACTTACTTCTGTCCATTCTCCCCTTAGGCCTATGTAAAAGATTTTTGTCATCTCAGCGCCAAAGTTCTTGGAGAAGTGGATGGAGAGATGATAAACATTTGAGAAGCGAGCAATTCTGGGAAAGGAAAAAAAAGTCTGCATTTAAAATTGTAACATACAAGACATTTTTATAAGTTTTGACTTCTAAAACTAAAGCAAATCAAAGCCAAGTTTTTTCCGATGTAAATGTATAGCTCTGCAATAAACATACTGCAGCATTCAACTGGAGCAAGTAAGCACACTGATGTACCTTCCTAGATTGCCCTCTTTTGGCTCTTCTTGCCAGCAGCATCAACTAAACAAACCAGAAAGCGTCTGTGTGCATCTTTGTTCGACTTCATGTCTAAACCAAGTTTCCTGTTTTGCTCCATTCTTTAAAAAACATAGTTAAAAGCTTCTAGCCTACAGTTCTGGCATGTTAAGGAAAGAACAAGCCAAGGATGCTAGTTCAGGTGCAAAGCACCTGAGAGCACAGGACAGGTTGATTAGAAAGACAGAAGACAGAAGTTTCCATCATCATTTAGTACCTCCCAATAGCAAAAGGAACCAAGCAGGAGCAGTATGTGCCAGACATGCATATATACACACATGGACGTGTGTGTGTGTGTATACACACACACACACTTTCCCCAATCACACTGTTCCCTTTCAGGGTAAGCAATGCTGGTAAGAATTCTCACTTTTCACTATAACTCAGCAGAACCAGTGTTTCTACCTGCCTAAAGCCAAGATGCATTCTCAGAAGCTAAGACAGGCTGAAGGAAAAAGCAACTCAGCACTCTGCATTGCAATAATCATTGGAGGGGTTTGGGCTGTCTCAGCAGAAAGACTGGGACACATGAGTCCTTGTTCCCAGGGCTGCTAAAGTCCCAGGATACACTGATCTAAATATGCATTTCTAAGGGTTCTTCTCTCAGATGTTCCCCTTTAACAGCAATTCACACCATGATCTCTCACATTATGCAGCTTCTGCACTACTAACCAATTTTGGGGACCTGAACAATGACCCTAATATTTTTCAGACCTTTTTATTGCAACTTTCATTTCATTTATTTCTGATAGCTCTTTCTGAAATCCTGATTTGACAACTATCGATCTTGTTCTGGTAACCTGCCCCAAATCAGGAGGACTAGGTGGCACGTAAGCATATGTAATAAAATAAATGTAATGAATTCTGCTACTTTCCCCATCTTCTGGGGGGAAAAAGCTTGAGAGGAGGGGAGGGGACATAATAAAGGATTCAGGTCAGCCTGGGGCTAGCTTACTCACTCCAATGCAGATTTCCTTCAAGTCTAAGGCTTCAAATTCCCCTAACTACACACAGTTCCTCAATCTTCCATTCCATGAGGGCCTTACCTTTTTTTTTCCCAGCTGTAATGGCAGCACTTCACCATACAATTTGTTCACCAAGCAATAAAGTCATTTTTATTTTTAGCTGTGCCATTCCTGTTTGTTATCCCTGAGAGCTGTTGCTAGAGGGCAGCCAGTTGCCATAGGCAAGCATGCTGGGATCGGAATTTGGTTCCA